AATTAGCGTATATTGAGAATCCGCAGGGGATTTAGCATGCATGCTGTCAGGAACGCAAGAGTGAAATTTTAACAAATAAATAATTTTGTAATTTTCAGGTAAAGAGCATGGAGTTGGTGTTTATATTTCCTCGGTTATTCGAGGTTCAAGAGCGGACATTGCTGGATTAAGGGTAAATGACTCACATATACTATAATATATATTAGTAGCTTTCCACGCATAATTTTTTAACTTATGCATAAAATCATTGAAAGGCTACTGTGGCAAAAAGTCCAAGTTTTAGTGGTCGTGCGCAGTAATGTACATCAAATGATCTGGTATTTTGATAGTTCATAAAACACCTTCCAAATTCTACCATGTGAATTTAACCTTACATTTTTATTTGCAAGTCATCTTTAATATGATTTTGGAAAACAGCCTTGGTCCACTCCAATATTCACTTTTCAGAATAATTTGGTGATAGAGATACCAGAAGACAACCAAACTATACCCATACTAATGCTAAATTTCCACAAATATTTCGGAATTTTTAGTTTAGTGGACATTTTAGAACTTTGCAGTTGTTTTGTACACCCTGCCAGTATACATCCTTTCCCGATTGAATAATTATAAGGAGATGGCAAGAAACAGTCATGCCAGAACGTCGAGTATCATATTTGATGTTGACGATGTCGGGGGAACGCTATCCGATGTATCGGGATCGCGATATGACCATGTTGCTTAGTATTCATCATGGCATCGTGAGCTCAGTTATAAATTTTGGCACGCTTTTTGTTTTGCTTTAGTTTGATGTATATCTTCAACAAAATAAGCCCATATCGTAAGACAGTTTAAAGTGTTCCTAAACAAAGGCAGATCTAAGTACTTTTCAAATTTAGAAATGCTTCCAAAAAATAATATAAAAGACTAGCTAAGACCGCGTTATACAGGTGGACTAATTGAAAAAGTGTTTAAGTTGCTGCATGGTCAGTTTCGTCATGCAGCTTCTTTCACTATGTACCGATTCAAATCCCGCGCTAATTAGGTAGAGCATGTTATAGTGGCACGTGTTGTTAGGTTTTCCCCTCGTATTCTGTGCGTATCTCAACTTTGTATCGTGTGTGATTCCAGCCAGGTGACGAGATATTGCTTGTCAATGGTTTTATGATATCCGAATCAACTCATGGTGAAGTAGTTAGTCTCATGAGAACTCGACGCCATCTCAGACTTAAAGTCAGAAGTAAGCAATTATAGTACATAATAAGTAAATAGTAACTGAGTAAATCTATAATATATATATTGCGCTCAGAATTTCTGTCAACAAAAATCCTTCAACATTTGTTCTATCAAGCGAGAAGCCCAAAATCTTGAATATTTGACGTAATATGTCAAATCCGACTATGAGGACTGCACTAGACTTCAAGTCCGCGCAATTTGATCAAGTCCGAGGCGAAGCCGAGGACCGAATCAAAATGCGAGGACTTGAAATGTAGTGCAGTCCGAATTGGAGGATTTGAAATGACATCACATACGAATAAATCACTACTTATTAAAGTGAGGTGAATTAATTTTGATCCAGTCCAAGGACTGAATTAATTTTGATCCAGTCCTAGGGCTGGATATACTTCACCAGATATCCAGGATTATCATATGAACAAAATAAAGCAATATATACGGTTGGCTAATTGACCACTTGCGTAATAGACTAGATTAAATACATGCATGCAGTAACCCCTCGCCAATATTTTCCAAACATTAAATTAACATGAAGTATTCAGAAATGGCCAACACTGAACGCAGGCTCGCGCTCAAATTTTGCCATGACAACACGATATTCTTAAATTTTTAATCGTCATATTTTTTGTACAAAACTGCAAAATAGTTGAAAGATTCGTACTTTTAACTATACAACAATAAATTTCCGAAATATATACTGTAGGTATACAGTATTATTTTGCATTTTGTGAAATGTTCATTCAACTAAACTACATTTGCCGATAAACTGTTTTTACTTTATAATAAAAACATATTAATAAGTTTAATACAAATAAAACAAATTGTTAGGTAATTTCAGTTCAGTCTTCAAATCAATTTGTTCTCCTTTACATTTTAAGATTTTTCGCAAATTAAACGGTAATTTATGAAACGTAGAGCTTCGTTGAAAAGGAAAACAGTTCATGTTGTTAGGCAAAAAGTTAAAGCAACAAAATTCGTAAACATTAAATATTCAAAGCAAACTTGCCGCACAGTAAATTTCGAAGAGTTAAAATTACTCTATTAACAGAGTCAATACTACTCCAACTCTAGGAGTTAAATTCAGAGGAGTAATTGTAACTCCAGAAATGGAGTAGATTTTACTACTTATGGAATTAAACGACTCCCGAATGTGGAGTTGTAATTAATAGATTATATTGTACTCTTGCAGAGGAGTCGTTTTAACTACATGGAGTTATAACAATGCCTTTAATGGGGTAAATACAACTCTCATGACAGAGTTGAAAACACTCCTTCCCTAAGAATTATTATAACTCCTTCAACGTAGTAAAAACAACTCCCACATTAAAGTAAAAAAGAGTTATTGTGACTCATCCTTCCTTCACAATTAATATAACTCCTTCAACGTAGTAAAAACAACTCCTACATTATAGTAAAATGTGACTCGTGAATAACATTCTATAACAATATTCTATAACAGAGTCAAGAGCAGTATTTTCGAGTTAAAACGACTTTCGGATATCCCCGGCAATTATTGAATTGTTCTGAATTATAACGAAATTCTGCTCTGAGTTGTGTCGATTACAGGAGTCAAAACAAGGTTTCAACGATTCTCCCCATAGACGTGTATCTCCATGCCATAGTTTAATTAACAAATTAGTAACTACATCAATTGTGTTGAAATAGATAGTTGTTTTATTTGCCAATTTCATATCTTGGAACAATACACTTCATCATAGTATGATGACCAGATGGCTTTACCATATGCAAAGGTAGGAAATATGACAATTGGCAGTGTTTCACCAGCTCGAAGTTGATTTGCTGTGGACGTTTCTTCACTTCATAGGCCTGAAAGTGATCATTCCAACACGACGTTATGCACGTGGAAGTTAGAAATCGTATACTTGTTAAATCCCTTTGGACCAGTATTTTCTTTACTTCTGCGTATTCTGGCTCTTCATTATGAGTGCCCACCTCGAGAAAACATCCAACTTTGTATTTTGTCCCATTGATTTCAACCCATTTGGATCTAAACGATTAAAAGTAATTATATAATATTCAGATATACCTACGTTTTTCTGCACCACATGCATTCCACTTAAAGGCTGATTTCCACTGTTGCGTTTTTCGTACGCACATAAAACTTTGAATCCTTCTATTTCTTAAATATTTTACAAATATAGAAGTTAACAAATGCATGCTAAAAACTTGCGGAACACTAAGTTCTGTTGCTTTATTTATTTGCTTATTTCATAAGTAACATTTAAACGGATTAAAAGTTTTACGTGCGTATACGTACGTATATGAAAAACGCAACAGTGGAGATGAGCCTTAAGGCACACAGTCGCCGTTGAGCGATGTATTTTAGTGTACAATAATCGATGACGTTGAGCTGAGTCTTTCGTAATTCCCATTCACTTAATACTTGGTCTTAATAATATACATGCACTTTAAATGGTATATGAATTAAGGTGTTGGTATTTGTCGAGGGTGATGTACCGTTGACGAGTGCATGGAAGTGGGGAAACTAAGAAATATTGTGGAAACATGACGCCCAAAGGGCGAGTGTATTCACAAAATTTCGATTTTTCCCAACTTTCACGAATGTTTGTTTAACTCCATATCAACACGAAAAGATGTTTTATATTTTTTTAATAATATAGCACTAGGAAATAAGTAATGAAAAGGAGAAATTTCCGTGTTGACTTTGAGTTATATCAACACCGACGGCTCTTAGCTAATCAGCGTTCATAATTTACAAATGCTATATTATAACTAGAGTACCTGCAAGTTAGGGATTGCTGCAGGCATTAAGAGCAAATATAACTAAATATAGACGTGCCGATCTGTAAGATTGTATAAGTTATTAAGGAAATAGGTTTATAGAACGGTGAAATGTTTCAATGCCAGTTGTAAATATGCAAGCACTAAATTATCCAAGCACTTGATTGTATCAAAGTGTATGTATTTTATTTGTCATTTCTTTTTGTGCACTGACACAACATTTTTTCCTATTGAAGCGCACAGTAGCTTCCACAGTTAATAAAATCTTAATTATGAAGTCGTCATTCAACTTGACTCTTGTAAATATCGTATAATTATTTGAGTTTGTAAGTTTTTAAAATTTAACACAATACTCTATACATACTCTGTTAACCATGTGTCACGATGGATTTCTGGTTGTTCTTGATTTAGCAGGTCGAAGTACTCGGCATCTCCAGCAAGAACCGACTTTCCTTTAAAAGTGTAAAAAAAGAGTTGAGAAAGAGAGTGAGTGAGTAAGAGAAATTTCATATGATGGGTAAATGAGCAAGCAGGCGAGTGTTTCCACGCATTTTTGTATCTGCGAAGAAGATACTGTATATATGCTATCGCAAACGTACGGTACCGTGTGTTAGCACATAGCCATTCACCGACGAGCTTATATAAATTTAATTAGATAAGCCAATCAGCGATTAGCTTACATCAATTGTTCACATCGTGCCCGCATCTAACCTGCGAACGGGCATCGTCTGGGCCTCGTGTTATTAAACAGTCAAAACACAGCAGGCAATATATTTGCCAAGTGCTGAACAATGTATTAAATCCTGGTCCTGTATTTCTGTAACTCTGTTCAAAACAACAGTCCAACTAAGCTGTCATCATTTTGCTTTCTAACACAAATGTTAATACTTGCAAGTAAATAACACTTGCAAGACAATCTTGCCTAAATTCATTAGTATGGGAAATAACGTAACAGTTACAATAACCATACATTATATATGGATGGATCAGATCAATGGCACACAATGTACAAAAGTAACAAAACTAAACTCAGTGTGGTATATCATTAACTGTGCACAGGATTGGAATTGAATGATATACTTCACTCATGACCTTCAAAACATTCTCTACTATTCAGTGGTCTTCAATATATGATTGACCCATTGCTACAGTAATGCATGTTCCTCGAATAATTTGTGTATGTTACTCAACAGTTAACATTGGCAAGTGTAAACAACAAGTGACAGAACTTTTGCTTCATATGATTACATTAAAGTTTTGAAAATTCGATAAGTATGGAGGTTGACAAGTGACAGTTTAATGAATAGCCGGCTGCTATAGACAGTTCGAATATTGTTTGCATTAAATTTTTATTTCCAGATTACATAATTATCTGTTACAATCATAATAGGGGGTTGTCCCTGCTCAGTTCCTTTCAAGAAAATACAAAATGTGAATCAAGTTTTTTTCGCAGATACATGAACGCATCGCGTACCTATTTTTCTTACATCTTGTAAGGGTTGCTGTACTTTAATTTAGAAATAAATCAATTTTTACCTGGTCCAACTTGCACACCTTTTTCCATAAAAGTGCCCAAGTTTGCACTTGATGTATGCAGCTTGTAACACATCCAGTGTTGGTGTCGGTATGACAGTGTTTGAGCAACATTTGTAAAATTACCAATCACATTGGCAAGTTTTTTGAAGTAGCTATGCTTCGCTTCAAAACGCATACACCAAGATCGTACCAGGGGACCCAATCTACACGGTTGAGAGCAATTACAGCGTAAACAAAATTTGCAAAATTAAACCTCCTATTTTTAATAATATTGCACCTATACTACTCTAAATATCATTGTACCTCAAAATAGTGCTTGGCATGTGAACCATATAATGCATCTTTGGTATTATTGGTTTCTCCGGATACAATGTTTTGAACTCCCTGTGATGTTCATCTATTAAGACTTGAAGGTATGCCACTTGATTAGTGCTGATCGTTGGAGAAAACACGATGGATATTATGCGGAGCATTTTTTGAAATAGAAGCCAGTGATCGTCATTCTCTGGAACCAGTGTGCCAATTAAGAGTGGTAGATATCTTGCAAAACACCACATTTGAACAGCTGCACAAGAACAAAGAAGAAGGCTTAGTTCATGCCATTGTTCTCGCAATCAAGCCTCGCTTTGACGCCATGTTCTCTTAGAACCAAAGCGAGGCTTCATTCTTAAAACTTAAGGCACCATTACTTTTCATAAAACAACTTTATTTTGGGATTTCAGGTGACGGGCAGGCATAAAAAAACGGCTATTTTAATGTGTTGATCAAGTTAGGAGACAGTTTAAGACTCAAAAGATGAATTACCGTTCAGTTGTTTTTTTCTACAACCATTCTGATAGGAGAAAAATCGTTCAGAAGTTGTTTGATTGCCCGTCATTTGGATGAAAAGTCGCGTGATTGCAAACAAAGAATTAGGAAATGCATCAATGCATTTCAGCAATGCTACTGCATACCATATGTATGAGTGGGTGGGTAATTTTAGTACCAGCCTCGTTAACAAATGCGAATTTGAGGTGGTACTTGCTGCAAAAATTAATGTTTTCAACATAACTATCTTAATCTTTCTGACCTTCATAACCTTTTTTCAAATATTTTATCTTTTATAGGCCATGTAAAGTCGATAATGTAAACAAACGCTTTGTTTACATTTTGAACTCAGTGCTATAAAAATATGATTAGATATATAATTATTATATGAATTTTTAACACTTTTCTGGTTCTCTATGATGGTACATGAATACAAATAAAGTTTAGTTCAAGAAAGTTCGAAATGTGCGAAATATTATCAACATTCCAATGGTTGGTCCCAACCATTGGAATGTAGGCCTGCGTAGAACGTATGCGCAGAACGGAGTTTACATGGTCTTTAATTGACAATGAAAAATGTTCACTAAACGTGCATAATGCTTACCATGTAGTCTCAGACTGTGATCTGCCGAGTTTAACTTATTCTCTCCAATTGGGCTTGGCTTGTTAGTATCATTGTAATAACCAAAATCGAAGCATGCAGACCGTCTGTTAAGTTCCTCCAAGGTGAATAACCGTTTTACTTTGATAAGCTGTAGTAACAGTTCTTTGACTTCGTATTGCAGAACTCCTTCTAAGACATCGTGCATGCAGTCACCAGGCAGTCCACCAACAACGTGATAATATGTTGACTCGTTCAACGGAGATCTTCTGTTGATGCCATAGACATAACTGAAGTGTTCACCATTTTGAACAAGTCTGCACTGTTCCTCATAACCAGCTTTAGTTCTCATTTCAAAGTACTTCTCATGAAACTTGATAAAAAATAAAAATTAACCATTTCGATCAACCTGTTTTGGCACAGAAAACAACTGATCTTCGAGATATACTCAGTCTGTAACATTGAGTAATTATTAGCAACAATAAGTATAACTTAATTGTGCCTTACAAGATTTTGAATCTCTTCTTCACTTCCCATACAGTCCCTGCATTTTCGGTGAGCTTGGGCGCCCTCCTTATATCCACCAATGAATTGAGCCCCAAGATTATCAGCTGAGAAAAATATTACTGTGCCTTGGTATATTTGCTTTTCACCATTTATTGTGAACTCGTGTCCTTCATCCTACAAGTATATTATAACACAGTGATTTGATCACAACTTGAATAATTTTATGTACATAAACAAAAATGTCAAAACATTTTAATATAAGTTTAATTTAACAGCAAATGTTAACATGTCTTCAACTAGACCACCTTTTATACTTCAAAAAAGTTGGTTCGCATGCATAAGTTCGTTTTCTGATCTTTTAGATAGACTAGTCTAAATATCTTAAAATTTCATGATCATGTTTTCTATCACAATGCCTTATTCATTTAAAGTTTGCGTTCTGCTAATCTTTCTCGTATTGTAAGGAGCACACACACATACTGTGCTCATGTACATACACATACCGAGAAGGTTAGCATGCAGGGGCCGGTTGTATCAAGGCCAGATAACACTATCCCCCGGATAGTGATTTTTTCGACCGTTGTAAAAATACTCAAAAAACTGTAAAATTACACATGTGGACCTCACAAATAATAAAAAGAAACTTTACATGTTATTGTAAAGTTTAATCTAGCTAGATTACACCAACCAACGGACAATTTGGGGAAGCTTGAAAAAATAGCTATCCGGAGAATAGTGCTATCATATATCCGGCCTTGATACAACCAGTCACAGAAGATTACAATCAAGATTTTATTTACAAATTACAGTATATGATTTTCAATACAATTAGGCCTAATAACGCTTCTGAAAGCTGCAGACCTTTTCAAGTTCGTGCAATTCCAACATAAATTTGTCTAAAATTGCATCTGGACCGTACTTCTTCAGTAAAGGACTTGTGATTAGAGCAAGTAGCTGGATGGCATTCTGATGTGATCTATTCTGTGGTTTAATATTAGCAATGGTGTAATAGAATGCTCCTTAAAAAAAATAAGAAATATAATTAAGTACATTCATAAAAGAAATAATTAACAGCATTACGGACTGACAAATTGTATGCAAATATATAGTAGTGTCCCAAAAAATGTCACTGTGACGAAAATTGAAATATTATTCATAGTATTTTTTGTCAATTGAAAGTGATATATATTATATATTAAGTATTTTGAAATGTTCACAGATTATCTCATGCATGTCAACAAAGAAATATCGCATTTTCATTTCAACAGGCTTTTCCTTCAATATTTCTCATCTGTAATTAAAATCACAACTGCAATTGATAGTGTCCTTATCCTGTGGCTTAATTGTTATTCCTAACTATATGTGTGGATTGTCCTTAGTGATTATTGACTTAACATTGTTCATGCGGCTATAACTTATTTTGATTGTTTTCCTGTTAAAGATCCTTGTGTTGTGGTGGAAAGTGCTTGTCAATAAAACTCAACCTCATATCCAGTGTCTCTCCTCTTGGAGAGGGGAGAAGACCCTGGTAGACGCTGGTCACGTGATCTGCTAAAATCTAGCAGATTTTTAATGCAATCCAAGATGAGGTCAATAAAGCCTAGTTTCCATTTGGTCGTTAGTTGTCGCTGGCACGACAAGTGGCTGATGTAATAGAGTGTCAACAAAACTTTATAAAACTCTGCAATCATTAAGACTGATTTGCATATAACACACAAAAAGACTATTGATATTAGACTATTTCTCATCTAACGCTTGTCGTGCCAGCGACAACCAACGACCAAATGGAAACTGGGCTTTAATATTTGATATTTGGATAATTTTTACAATTTAATTCATAGTTTGCATTTTGTATGATTATCAGCCAGGAATCCAGGATAGTCAATTAGAATTCTGCTAGATTTTAGCAGATCACGTGACCAGGGTCTTTTCTCCACAAGAGGAAAGACCCTGGGTATGAGGCTGAATAAAACTTAGCAAGAAATGACGCCCTAAGTCTGTGCTAACACTGCTGCTAAATGGTGGCATCATTGGTTCGTTGCCTACTCCTGTGTGGTTGCTATATTGAGTGTAGCTATAAGATCGTGATTAAAGTTGCTATATGCATGTCTAAGTGCATTCTGATAGAGCCAAGATTATTTCAACATGTCGTTATCGAAAGAATGTTCGCGTAAACAGCACAAAGATTATGAATGCATGCATAATTGTCCAACCCACACACTCCCACGTTTCCCCAAACCACATATAACTGAGCAACTTTTTTTTTCGAAACTTGTCATACCGACTGAAGATTGTTTCTAGATGAAACAGCTTGTTGCGGAACTTTGAGGTAATTAAGTGAAAATTTATGTTTGCTCGAAACATATACATCTATTTCAAATAAGGTTGTCAGAGATGTACAATATGAGCGTGAAAGAATGATGGGAATAATCATAGTTTTTAATGTTTATTATGATTATTCCCATCATTTTTTCACGCTCATATTGTACATAATTTGACAATTGTCTCTGACAACCTTAATACATTAATTTGTAATTAATAATTTATAATTTCCAGTTTCCTCCATGGGGGAAGTATGGATGTATTCTGGAATGACCCAATTTTTAGGTCTCACACAAGCTATTAATACAGCATTCACGTCCATGTTGTACCTGACATATAAACTGTATCCTTCGGCTTCGGTATATCCGGCAAATAACCCCCAACACACTACCGGCAATGAGTCTGTTGCCCAGACCCTCTCTCTGCAAAACTGCTCAAAACACCACTATACTAAACTATAACCTCCCATCTATTAATGTGAAGACAAAATTTTAAATAATTATAAATTGACATGTAGCTCATGCTAGCTTCCACTGCCTACCAAGTTTATGTTTGATAACCTTGGATCCGAGCGCATTGCAGATCTCCACATTGTCAAAGTACAAAATAAGTTGCAGTGCTTTGGGATTTCTTGAAAATAATGGATGGGTTCGGTACGCCTCTGCATCACAGTAGTCACTGAGAAGTCCATCATTTCTTGTGTGAGGATTTTCAATCTGTTAATTTAAAGATTTAAACAAACAAGAACGAATGAACAACAAGGATAGAATTTAATTAAAATATCCACTAAGTAACAATACATCCAGTAGATATGTTGAGCAGCTTCTATATAAGTTAAGAAATTATCCGATCATAAGGACTATACATGGGCCTCATAATCCCTCATTGAAATGCTCCCCTCCCTTGGGAAATATATTTTATTGAAATTTATTATAGACTATTGAAAATTAACTATTGGACTAGATTTAATGGACTAATGGACTATTTATTGAAAATGAACAAATATTTGTCAATTATTTTATACCTCTTCTAGGACTGACTCATTGTTTAATAATTCTTGCAGACTTTCAAGTAGTGGCACATAATAAGCTTCTTCATTTTTCATAACAAGCTTCAACTTGCTTCCACGCCTTACTTTTACATGGTACTGTCCCAGGACAATAGAATGTGGCTCCTGAATTTAAAAATAATTTCAGTAATTAAGTTATTTCATATAGTCTATTATTATGTCCCAAGGCGGGGAAGGATACTATAGGGGAAGGGTATTGTAGGGTAAGGTCAGGATAGGGTACCGGTAGTTGTAACTGCAGATGACTCCCTTCTCAGGACATAACATATTTAGGCATGCATGGAGTACAAGCCATAATTTCTGTCGATACCTGCATTAAGCCCGTTCTCCACTAGGGAATTTTTTCGCGCCAAGGCGAAAACAAATTTTGGCAATGTGATTGGTTAGCAAAAAATTTTTTGCACCAAATATAGTTTTGACAACGAATCAGTGTCGAAATTTGTTTTCACTTCATGTCGCGCAAAAAATTCAGAATATAAACCCAGCAATAATCAAAGTTATACTATAATTAGATATTGTAAAGTGTGAATCTACAATTAGGGAATTTGGCAATGTCCTTATATGCATTAAAATATGACATTTGTTATATTGCAATTAAAATCAAACACTTTTTCATAGTCATTTTCTGAGTCATGGACTTCTGCATATCCACCTGAGAGTGCTAATTAACTTATCCAATACCGGCATCCCTCTGGCGCAACCTCTGGACAGAATCATATGTACTTTCCTATTTCTCGATCTCACACTGGCCAAGATATTAACATCTGTTCTAACTTTGATTCATGTGGTCACCATTTATGTATGCAGTCATTGCAGTAAGGGGCCAAGCTAGGGGGTTAATTTGAATATTCAAAGAACAATAGAAATGACAATGAACAATTGATCTATGCTTTTCGTACCTTAATGTATAAAAATATTTAAAATGTTGGTCTCTCCCCTTAGGAAAAGCAATTAGATCAATTGTTCATTCAGTCATTTTTATTGTTCTTTGAATATACAAATTAACCCCCTAGCTTGGCCCCTCACTGCAATGACTGCATACAATGTATGCCATACATAAATGGCTCCGATTTTAAAACATTTGAAAAACTTACCACAAGATTAAAATTTTCCCTGTAATACTTTACTTGTTCCCTAAAGTTGGCAATGTCCTTAAACGGGTCAGATATCTGGTTTTCTTTCTCAAACAACTCTTTTAATCCAGGTATGTCGTCAAAGTTAATTCCAGATGCATCTAATCTCTCAGCTACACCTTTCTTCACCATATCTATGCTGTTGAGAACTACTTGTGTAGCTCGATTCACTACATTATCCAAATTTGTTTGTGTCAGTTTTCCTTCTTCCTTTATTTGCATTAGACAAAAAGCATTGTTTCTTCTAATCTTGCCTTGTTCCCTTTCTATGTCAAACTCTTCCTCGTGTATCAATTCAGCTGGTTCCTCAACGTCAAGTTCTATACGGTTTTCTGGTATATCAACAATTCCAATTGCTTCCTCTAAAAGGTTGGAATGGTGTTTCCTGACATGATTTCTGAATGCATTATAGTTTGTGTACGTTCTAGTGCACTCTTCTATTCCACACAGAACATGAAACCCAGGCTCATAACTATGGCATCTGCCGATGTGGCTGAGAAGTCGAACAAGTTGAGTGGTTGTAAACCCATCACAACGATTACAATTGTACACCATTATATCATACTTGACATAGTGGAAAGTCGTTGCAAAATTTATAAAAAATGATTATGTGCATTCACTTCAGCTTTGCTTTGCTCTTAATTATTTCGCGCCATTTGTAATTTATCATTGTCATTCTTGCATAAATTAATTTCCCGCCAAAAATACTTGAAAAGAAAAACGCATTCAGCTCTAGACACCGCCATTTTGGAGTTTTGCTGTCATGGATTCAGAGGTATGTTGGTTTTTTGATATTTTTATTTAAGTTTGGTCATTGGTGGACAACTTTTCTTTTCACAGCAATGCTAAAAGTCGCCCTTTTCACCAATGACAAGACTAGTTTCGACTGAATACAAATTTTATTTACCTATAGGCTATATTGTGTGAAAAACACGAAACATTTTCACAAAAAAAAAAAAATACGGCAAGTCAGTTTTTCGTTCAAAAGAAACCTGGTTTTCAAAAAGAAAAATTTGCAGGGAAAACATAATTTGTTTAAGTTTCCTTGTACGAAAGCTGTCATTCTTTTTGCTGAATTAAAACTGAATCCGACGACTTGAAAAACTTGAATGAGTGAATGATCTTTTGTCCCCGTGTGTCGCAGGGCTTTCCCGTCCGGTATGTTGGCTGTTAAACCTTTGTCTTTGCTCACGGACTTCGGGTTTTAATTTGGCATGTAGATCGATACTGTATATATAATCGGCTAGGTAAGCTACAATAATTTCTAACTCCCTCGCATATAAGCGCGTGAGTCTATATTTAAGACGAATTTTTACGATTTTTCTTTTTTTTAATATTGTGTCGAAATGGCCGTTTATGACAAACCAATGATAGGGGCCGACGACAAATAGATTTTGATGGGGGG